ATTTCATGTCTTAAAGGAAACATTTTATCAATGTTCACTTCTAAAGGAATTTCTCATGCAAATTGTAAGACATTTAAAAAACATGTTTACCTATTCCCCTAAAAAATCAACCCCTTTATTTGTTTTCCAATATCAACATCAATAAACATATCTTCTGATTTCAATTATTAGCTAACTAAATTAACAAGATATAATACATCAATGATTATTGCCATTAAAAACTCAAAATCGCCAACCTCATTTTTGCTAAAGATTTAGGTTCACTTCTTAATTTCACATGACCTCCCTACTCTCTCTTTCATACTCTATCCTTCTAATTTCTCGATTACACACAAAACATGGGTGCGCTTCTCCTATTTTCCCGACCACGAAAACCCACTCTTGGGTTTTGATATTCTGTTTTTTTTTTTTTAATTTACCAGAAATAATATAATCACCCCTTCAACTTTGTCTATTTTCCCCACTTGACCCAATACAATTTAAAAGGTGTAAATTCTTCTATTTTTTGTTTACATCTAATAACCAAATTATAATAGTTGTATTTTCCTTTATATTCTCGTGTTCCATTTAACATAAAATCACAACATCTCCCCCAACTCTTTTATAAGGCTTTTGTTTGAAGAATATTAGCCTTGTGGGCTAAATCTCTTAGAGCCCAAACTTCTTTATATGAATTTGGAGATTTGTAAATCCAAAAACTTTGCATCTTTTTGTATTCAATATGAACCAATAGAGTTCGACTACCTTAACTTGTGTATCTATATTTTTAGGGTCTTACATGGTAAAAAAAATGGTTTAAATTTTGTTCAAATTCGGTTTTGAGCGGATTAGTTTCATATTTTAAGTTTATTTTTTTTTTAACCTTTGGACCTGGTTGGTACTATTAAGTTTAGTTTTAAAGATTAAGTTTTCTAGTAAAAGAAAGAAGGGAAATAGGTCTTCTTTGAGGCGGTATTGGCGTCTCGGATCAATATTGGGTCGGTCTCTGAACTGTCTGTTTTTTTATCGGACGGTCGGTCTTTTATTGGTCTTGTGTTTATTTGGACCAATCTTTTTTCAATCCATACTTGTTTTAGACAAGTTTGACAACGATCTATTTTTTGGGACCGGTTCGAGACCCTCTTTTTAGCTCATGTTTACTTGAGTAGTTTGCATGCTTCATAGTCCATAGAGTAAAGTCGTTGGACCAAAAAAATAAGATGGTTTGAATGATTTGTGGTAAGGGTGAGCAATTGGCCTGTTCAGACCGCACTAAACCATGATCGGTGTTGGACCGGGATCGGTTTTCATCAAGCGGACCGATTGTTGGTTCTTAAGATTGTCCTATCATTGTTTTTAGGTTTTTTCCGGTCGGTGCCACCAGTTCCGGGTAAAAGACTAAGCCCAACCAGAAAGGTGTTTTATGTTTAACGTTATGCACAATGGTTCATCTTTTTTAAATTTCCCTAACTCTTTGTTTGAAGTCCATTTGACATGTTTTATTTTCAACATGTAGTTTATCGTGTAGACTTCGTTTTATATTATATAAACACTTTATGTGGTTACATATTAATTATGTTACATGTCCCGTAACAAAAGGTATCAAAACAAAATTTGTGTTGTTTCAGGATTGAGTTCACTGTTTTTACTTCATTCTAGATTATATTAAATCCTTATTTTTTTATGTATCAGGTTATTTTTTGTTGATTGATTTGATATTTTTTTTTAATCATTTGGGTTCAAAGCACTAAATAGTTATATCAAATATGTACATGTTCTAATTGAGTACGAAAAAAGGTCACCGAAACCACTACAGTTTAACCGATCTAGTTAACGGTTCTTATTATTAGTCGAAACCGGGTCCAATTCCAAAATCCGGGCCAATTGCTCACCGAAGGAACAATTATGTCATTTTAACATTAAAAATATATGTAGAGAGGTCTCGGAGGACGTCATTTTAAATTTATGATTTTTTGATTTGAGGACTCAAAGTCAACAATAGAGGGTTGAAGCTCAGCTGCTTGGTTGTGACCATTTTCTGGAGTCCTAAGTTCCAACAAGTATGACGTTTGCTAAATTCCCATTTTGATTTTTAAACAGTGATTATGAACTCTGATTTCGTGATTATGAATTGTGTTTGTGGTAAGTTGACTAGTTTATGGATGGTTCTCACGAACCCAATTAATATATGGACCTGTATAGTACTATAGTAACCTAATACAGTATATGGTTTGAGACGATGTTTAAGAAAAAATTTATTTGCTAATTTGCTTGAAGTCAAAGGGTTAATTTTTTTATTTTTATTTTTTTTTATTTTTTTTGACGTTGATAGTTAAGAGATACCTTAAGTCAGGATTTTTGGATAACAAACGAAGGCGCAAAAGGAATTTAGGATTTCTGCATCATTGTAGCTGTTGGTGAAAACCCTAGGATCAAAGGTGCGTTTTTACTAGAATGAACTTCCGAATCATGTAATTATATTTAAAATCGCAACCTTTTTTTGTAATTGACCCCAAAGGATACTAGTATCTTCTTCTGTATGAAATTTCCCTTATCGCTATCAATTTCAAAATCTGTAACTTAATATGATTGAATTCTCACAGCATTTGGTTTCTTGCACATAAGGTGTTTGATGTATTGCCTCACTGAGTTTCTTGTATACCTTCCAGATAAATACAGACATGACTGAACCAACATCAAGTAGCATCGAGGATGACAATGTGGCTCTAGAGTACAACAACAACAATGTCAAGAAGGCAAAACTAAATTCAACACTAGCTGCACTCCTTGATGATCCTGTTCTTGCAGACGTACCAAAAAATCCAACTTTATCAGATGTTGATACCCTAATCAGCTTGGAACTCGGGAGTGCAATGCGTGTTTCTGTAATTAAAATGGACAACACATCTTTTGGTATACAATTATGCTTATTTCTTATCTTCCTATTTTCATAATTCATATTACATTATTATTAACCATTGTTGGTTGATCAGATGTTGCTGTGATGAATTCGGCAAAAGTCAAGGATTTGAAACTTGCTGTTGAGAAAAAAGTCAACGAAATGGAGCAGTCAAAGATGGGTCATCGTCACATTTCTTGGTTTTTCCCGAATCTTTGTTTTGACATATTTCTTTCTTGATTTTGTTATGAGAAAACTGATTTTTTTTTGTTATCAGGAAGCATGTGTGGCGAAATTTCTGCCTCTCATATCACAATGAAAAGCTTCTTAATGATGATGGAATTCTTCAAGATCATGGCATACGTAATCACTCTCAGGTACTCTTGAATCTCTACATAATCTTTCAAGTTATGTATCTAATCAACCATTGATGTAAAATTTTGAATTTCTTCGAAAAATCAAATTAAATTTTGTTGCATACGTGAGTCTCAAAATCATAAAAATGTTGTATTATTCTAGAGTTTGTTTGATAGTTTGGGATTTTTGGTTGATAGGTGCATTTTATGGCATATATCATGACAAGGGTTTCAAATCGACATTCACGAAGGAGAAAGCATCGATTTTTTCATGGGCTCAATCGAAGGAATGAATTGCCACTCCTTAAAAGGTTTAGTTTGTGTTTATAAGAATGATTTTGATATATGTAACCATAGATATTGTTTCTATCTATGATCTATCATTTATCTTAGGTTGATTTAAAATGTTGTTTATTTCTAATGAAGTTTGTGGTTCAACCTTGTGTGATTTTGAATGGGTTAGTAAAAAGTAGGCTTAATAGACATGCTTTATTTCCAAAGAACAAAGTTCTAACATATTGAACACCTATTTTTTGTCATCGTTTTTGGTAGTCATCGATTAAGATATTAATATAATTTACTCTCATCGATTGTAGCAGTCATCATATCCATGAATAGTTTTCTTTCTCATCGACTTAAATCAATAGACCACGAAACTTCTTCCATTAAATCGATTTAAATTCTCTTAATAATAGCAAGCACCTTGTTTTTAAATGTGCTATAATGTCTGGAATCAAGAAAATTTTGAACAATTTATATCGAGTTTTAGGAAACAGGGATTCTTTATCTTTCAAAATAGTATCCCTATGGTACACACGTGAATTGAATTGTTAATAGAGTCACAATTAGAGTGCGAATAAAATTTCTTGAATCTATACAATTTTATGAAATTTAGATTAAGTAACAGTGTCTTAATTGTTCTCACCATATGGATGTGTTGGATTTCGTGTATATAAAACCCCTATTTGGTTTGTATAATTGGTAAATCTTTTGTGTACATGTGGCTGTCAAGATTACCTTGTTACAACGGATAACCCGAAATAGACAAGTTATTACATCCATTGTAGCAACGATTTATCCGATGTATGCCATGACACGGTGGATGATGTGTGGTTTTTGCCATGAATCAATCACAAAAGCTATAATATATATAACACAATAAATATCTATGACTTATCATATTAGACATGATAATATGACGATGATGGTTCACAAAAGTGATTTTACAAATGTGGTTTAACATAAAAATGTATAGATATGCATTTAAGAAACTTTGTGATATTCTTGAACGAATAAAGGGGTTTAACAATAGCTAAAACATACTAGTTAGCAAGTTGATTTGTTAATACACTTGCACATAACCAAAAAATAAGATTATAAGATGAAACTATAACTCAATATTTCAAGTTTTCATATCGATAACATAATGGTAACTACAAGAAATTGCCCAAGGAATAGAAAGGTTGATTGAGAAGGAATGCAATAATATAGAGCCGTTCCTGCGGAATCCTGCCTTGGCCTATGCATAAGTAGTAGTTTTTTTAAAAATAAATATAAATTTATCGATTTGAAAATAAGTATCTAAGTAAGTAGTTTTTATTATATTTATTATCATTATCAAAAAGAGAAATGCATGAGTAAACATCGTTAGGAGAGGAGAGTTCATACACCTCTCCAAAACAGAATGTTATCTAGAAGGTATATCAGACACAAATATTATTAATCAACTAACATTTACTAAAAAGGATAAAAAGATATAAATCATACACTATCACTAAAAAAAGGAATTGTAACAATCTTGGTTTTATATTCTTACAAACACTTACAATCTTACAAACAAAGTCAATTTCAACGCATTTCAAGAGAACCAATATATTTGATTTGGTCAAATACAAAATTCATCTATTCAAAACTATAAGATATATCGTAGAGATACCTCACCATGTCATGTTTTGAAAAAAGCTAACATATAGAGTGACATCATTCTTCGAATATCGTGAATAGACGTTCTTAGTCACCATAGTCTTAACTATTTTGACATATGGTGATGAAAACTTCTCCAAGAATAAAGTTGATGAATAGCATTAAGAGATCACGTCTGCAATACCCATTGCTAGGAAAGATACCCTCACGGATGAGCATGTAAATCTCATTGTTTTGATTGTATCCACCTGGAATGTACCATAGAATCTTTGATCCACTTAAAATGCTACAAAGACTATGAGTGTCGCAACCACCATATAATCTTTCATCAACTTATACCATCATCTATGCTTCCTATAAAGGAGATGTTAAACATTAGATACAAATATGTACGAAAAACCTCAAAGGAACACCATAAAGATAATGTTTTCAGATGCATTGTTTGTTTAGGTGAAAAAAAACATTATGTTTATGAATAGATAAGTATGTAAAAAACACAGATTTCACATCAATCTAAACAGCTTCCATCTATAGGTATAACATTTGTCGACTTAATTTATATTAGATCCAATTGTAGGCATAAACTAAAGGACTACTTTTGGGAAGTAAATACAAAAGATACTCACCGAGAAGAATAATTTAACGCATTTCAAGAGAACCCAAACTTGAATCTGACTAATCCAAGAATCAGTGTCTGATATCCGAGAAAAATCATATAGATAAAAAAAGTTCACTATGTAATGTTTGCCAAATATAGCAAACATATCCTGTACGATGTTGTATTGACTTCCAATAATCTCAGCCATTTTTGCACTTCCATCTACAGATGCTAAAAAGGGCAATACTGTTGTAAGTCACTCGCAATTTGATTCACCAAATTTTGCACAAATATAAAGATTGGTTTTGAAGGCTGGTTCGCTGGATAACTCAAAAATTGCGAAGGATATTCATCGATATTCAAACAGATATTCTTAAAAGTGGTACATACAGAAAAGATTTGTTGGAACAAATTACCATGAAGTAGATCTGCAGATGATAGACCTGGTCGTGATTTGGAGCTGCGATTTGAAGCACTGAGAATGTTAATCCGGCGCTCTTGCCTTCTGGTATTCAGGTCACCGCTGGAACTCATGTACGTAACGGCTACACTCATCTCGCCTGCTGCAAAGTGACGGTGTCAAATCTGTATTGAATGCCATGAGGTGAAAATCGGCGGATCTGAAAGTACCTCTGCGATTAGGTCGAACAAGTAGACACCAACTTATATAGAAGTGATAGACGTACGTCATCCTGAGCGTTGAAGAAATAGTAAATTACAAGAATTGTCCTAAAGTTTACTACTTGTATTAAATGTCCCACTCTTTGTTAATATGAAACATTGAACGTGTCGACTTCAACTTGGTTATGGTCTTCATTTTTAATCGGCACCGGTCCTAAAAAAAAGTAAATATCTTTTAAAGACCCAGGACGAACCATAAAAAAAGAGTATTTATCGTTGTTATAAGTTTTTATTTTTAAATAAAAATATATAATAAAAAATATTGGGACATATACAACTGTCCACTTTGCCCCCTCCTCAACGCCCCTCATGCTTTTAATTGTATAGTAGTCGACCGCACATAATCTGGTGATTAGTCGGACCACACCACTCCACCATAACCTCCTAGGTTTGTGCGAGAACTAATATATTGTTTGTTTGTTATTTTAAAACTTAAACAAGCAAACATGAGCAAGTCGTATTTCTTTTGTTTTGTTTTGATGCTTTACATTCTATTAAGCATCCACATGAGCCAACTACATAGTTCCATTTCATACGAAGTAGGTAGGTATGGGGGAATATGATGTAGGTAAGTCGTAGGTCACACACAGTTGTGATTCCGTTATTTTATTTTTTTGTTGGGAGTATTATTTAATTTTTTTCAAGGGTTTTAAAGTAAAATTTAAAATAATGTAAAATATTTATATGTAAAAGATTTTAGCCGGCGGGGCATGTGTCCCCACTTTTTAAGCCTTGTATCTATCATTAGTCTATACGGAGTGGTCGGTCGCTAAGGAATCGTCAAGGTCGTTGTGAAGAAGAGAACACCGTCTCCTAACGCTTGTTAGGGGGCTCGCTATTTAGTGTTCGTTATGTGCTTGGCGCAAGGAAAGAGAAAAGATTGGAGACTTTTGATTGGTTGGAGGGTCTTTCCCTGGATTGCTATATAAAAGAGTAAATTATCCAAATGGTCCCCATGGTTTGGGGTAATTTGCGCGTTTGGTCCCTAACTTATTTATTTTAACTCGGAAGGTCCCTTCTATTTGTTTTGATTACGCGTTTGGTCCCTACTGTTTCTTTTTGTTACGTGTTTGGTCTCTGTCTTACCTAAAAAGAATATTATTTAAATAGGGAAAAATGTTGGGGTAGGTAAGGTAAGATGAGGGGATGGGGTTGGGGGTATTTATTTAAATAAATTAACAAAAAAAAAGCAAGAGAAAAATAGTTTTTTTAGGTAAGACAGGGACCAACCGCGTAACAAAAACAAACAGTAGGGACCTTCTGAGTTAAAAAATAAGTTAGGGACCAAACGTGCAAATTACCCTAAACCATAGGGACCATTCGTGTAATTTATTCTATATAAAACTTTTGACTTCCGATATGCTGCCAAAATTAAATTGCATAATAAATCTTCAACAACTTCACATTTTAATTGATACCGTTTTAATGTTTTCAACCCCCAAAATTAAATTTCCAATTTAACTTTTCTCCAACTTCTTATTTAATTACAAAAAACGTTTTAATAAAACTCATAATATTCAAATACTATATATAAATTAAATCACACATTCAACATTACTAACACACAAAATATTATCTCCCTCACATTCTATCTCAACTCATCAAAGAAAATGTCTTCATCTCACCCAAACAAAACCCTAAGAAACAACAAAAAGAAATCTTCAAACCTTCCATCGCTCCATCACTAAACATTCTATCTCCAAACACACACTCAATCACCAAACCTTCCATCCCCAAACCTTCCATCACCACCATGTTATCGACCATCATTTGATCAACCAATTCACTCTCCCGCTAGCTTCTACTATCCTATAATTGGTCCGCAAATGTTTCCATTTAATCCGTACTCTTCTCAACCAATGGGATTTTACCACAACCAATCTCAACCAACACATCGTCCGAATGTGGATCTTGATCCGTTTGAAACGGTTCAAAAAACTCAATTTTTTTCTCAACCCCAGCCGCAAACTAACTTTCAATCCCAACCACGCCGCCTACTCGACGAGTCAACCGATTCTTCTGACGAAGGTCCTGTTGAAGATCCCGTTCAAGAATCATTTCAAGAGTCGAAAGTCCAACCACAAGCACAAAAAAGGAAAAGGGAGGCTCCATGTCAAGGGTGGATGGATGATGAAGAGAGCGCACTAGCTCAACCATGGCTAGATGTGTCGGAGGACCCGATCCATGGCAACGAGCAAGACTCAAAAACTTTCAAAGAAAAAGTTTGGCGTAACTTTTGTCAACGCATGAAAAAAAATGACCCCGCAAACCTGAATCACTTTATTCTAAGTGGAGGACCGCCAATCGAGCCATAATAGAGTTCAACGACATCTATATGAACGCCATCAAAAACCCCCCAAAGCGGTGCAATTGAGTTGGATGTCATGTGTCTCACCCCCAAACCGGAACGGCGGAAACGTTCGGGGGCGGAGGACATCATGTCAAGTATCACAACACATGCATTATAGTAATCAAAGTACAAACAACCATTGCATTAATAATGTATAAGTTTTTACATGAGTGTTCAAACATTAGATATTCAACAACAAAAGTATATATAGTAAAAGACAAAAGACGCAGCACGATACTAGGCTGTCTTCACAAAAGCTATGGGGGTGTATCTGTCTACTAGATTCCCTGAGAATACAAGTTATTTTGAAATAGAGGATCAGCATTTAAGCTGGTGAGTTCATAAGTATATTTTCTTTTATGGTTGCTTTCGTTTTAAGAAAGTGACTGATTACGTTCCAGAAAATCCTATATTTTCTGCTTTACAACTGAAAAGTAGTTTTAATCCCATAAAATTGTTCCGTTTAGGTGTTATAGTACTTATAACCTAGTATGACATAATTTTAACTCACCATAAAATTATAAGAAGAATGTTTTCTGTTTTGTTTGTGGAAACTGATTGATGCAGTAGTATTTCTTAAAAATACACTTCTGGTGTAATAACTACCCTATTATTAAACTGGTTAATTATGGTTAAAATGTGATAAGGTTGTAACCATGCTAATTAACTAGGATGAACACGACGACCTTCTGGCGTCGAACAGTGTGACATTTGTCACCCCTTGGCCTGCCGACCAAACTGTAGCTAACAGTCGGGATGTGGGATAGTCGATCCCATACAGATCTGTACACACAATGCCCGCTCTCCCTCGAGGAGACTTTGGTTACAAAACACGACATAACAAGTAAATTGTCACGTCGTGAAGTAGTGGCTCACATTTCTGGTTTATCTGGTTTCAAGTAAAGATTGAAGTATATCCTTTATCTTAACAAAGTAGTTTAAACCATGAATACTTATCTAGTAAAAATAGATTTCTCGTTTGTTTCATAACTTATACATATTATAACTTATATGTTCTATCCGATTAGCATGATCTCTCATGAATGTACCCCTTTGCTCAACGTGATACAAAGGTAGCTATATTGATGGAAATAACCTTTTATATTCCTATATGTATAATATATATAATTAAGAAGGAAACGACCTTCGGACAAATAGCTTCACCTTAAGCCCAAATCCAAACAAGGAAAAGGAAATAAGGTAATTCATTAGTCCTAAGCCTTTTGAGTCTTATTTATATACTTATACATATATAAACATGATTTTGACAAATATAAGTTTAAAGAGTTTATAAAACATTTTAAAAGAGTTTAACAGTTTTTCGAAGAGTTTAACAGTATTAAAAAAGTTTAACATTGTTTAAAAAAAGTTTACATGACTTTAAGTCATTTTGGAAGTATTTGGTAATCTTTTATTGTTAACACAATATTTAAAAGCATAAGAAAACCTTTTATGTGGTTGATATCACAGGTAGATATTAACACAATTTAATTGTGTTCAACTTGCATTCCCCCCCCCCCCCTTAAAAGTATTTAAAATCATTAAAAATGTAGATTATAGGGGTATGAACTCACCTTATGTTGGATATTCGATTGAAGATTTGGTTATAGGACGTTAGCTCCACAAGTGAAGTCTTGCTAACAAAACGAGTCCTAAACACGATTCATACAATATACATGTATACTTATAAATGAATATACTCATAAGAGTGATAGGAAAACGAACTAATCTGCAAGTTTAACTTACAAATTAAGGTGTTAGAAGCAACGTTTGAAGACAACAAGAGAGTTCACGACCTGATGAAGGATTTACGGCCCAAGAACAATTGATGTTCTTGAGTTCACGACCCAACAAGCTTGAAGAATGATGAAGATACAAGTGTTTTCAGTCTAGAAATCCCTAGAATGATAATGAAATGATGAACACCTTGAAGATCCAAGCAATATTCCAAGAAGAGTTGAAGGTTTGAGAGATGATACTTGACAGAGAAATGATAGAGTTTGCGGTCAGAAGTGAAAGAAGTGAAGATAAAATCGATCAACACCTATATATAGGGAGGAGTTCACTGCCGAGGGTTCACGGCTCCGAAGACTGTTCACGGTCCGAGGGTTTGCGGCCCATGTTTGCGGTCGTGAACCTCGCATGAAGGGGGTTTACAGTCCGAAATTTTGGCCTCGCATGGGTTCTCAGTTCAACTTGTTTCACTTCTTAAGCATACAATACCTTTGGTACAAGGTTTATACACTTAAAACCCATTAATCTAGCCATATATGTTAATAAAAGAAATGAGTTTGACCTTTACACGATATGTTTGACTTTTACAAGAATAAAAATTTTGGGTTGTCACATCATGGCTAAAGTTCGAAAGATTTACAAGGCAAAAGTCAAAAAATCTTTTGCCAATGAGTCGTTTTGGGAAGTTGTGAAGGGCAGTCGAAAATGGTTAGGGTTAAAAACTCCCGACGATTACGCGGGGATGTCCAAACGAAGCAAAACTTCAGAGATCACCAACAGTCAATCTTCTGATGCGTGTATCGTAGGGATTGACATCAACGAAGATCCTTATTAAGTTCCAACTCGTCCTATGGGACGAGACAAAGCAAAAAGAAGGTTGAAAGGAGGAAAAAGTAAATTGACTGAAGCGGAGGAGATAAGGAACT